GTCTACATGTCAGTGTTGTGGTCTACATGTCAGTGTTGTAGTCAGTGTTGTAGTCTACATGTCAGTGTTGTAGTCTACATGTCAGTGTTGTAGTCTACATGTCAGTGTTGTAGTCTACATGTCAGTGTTGTGGTCTACATGTCAGTGTTGTAGTCTACATGTCAGTGTTGTAGTCAGTGTTGTGGTCTACATGTCAGTGTTGTAGTCTACATGTCAGTGTTGTAGTCTACATGTCAGTGTTGTGGTCTACATGTCAGTGTTGTAGTCTACATGTCAGTGTTGTAGTCAGTGTTGTGGTCTACATGTCAGTGTTGTAGTCTACATGTCAGTGTTGTAGTCTACATGTCAGTGTTGTAGTCTACATGTCAGTGTTGTGGTCTACATGTCAGTGTTGTAGTCTACATGTCAGTGTTGTAGTCAGTGTTGTGGTCTACATGTCAGTGTTGTAGTCTACATGTCAGTGTTGTAGTCTACATGTCAGTGTTGTAGTCTACATGTCAGTGTTGTAGTCTACATGTCAGTGTTGTAGTCAGTGTTGTGGTCTACATGTCAGTGTTGTAGTCTACATGTCAGTGTTGTAGTCAGTGTTGTAGTCTACATGTCAGTGTTGTAGTCTACATGTCAGTGTTGTAGTCTACATGTCAGTGTTGTAGTCTACATGTCAGTGTTGTAGTCAGTGTTGTGGTCTACATGTCAGTGTTGTAGTCTACATGTCAGTGTTGTAGTCTACATGTCAGTGTTGTAGTCAGTGTTGTGGTCTACATGTCAGTGTTGTAGTCTACATGTCAGTGTTGTGGTCTACATGTCAGTGTTGTAGTCTACATGTCAGTGTTGTAGTCTACATGTCAGTGTTGTAGTCAGTGTTGTAGTCTACATGTCAGTGTTGTAGTCTACATGTCAGTGTTGTGGTCTACATGTCAGTGTTGTAGTCAGTGTTGTGGTCTACATGTCAGTGTTGTAGTCAGTGTTGTAGTCTACATGTCAGTGTTGTAGTCTACATGTCAGTGTTGTAGTCTACATGTCAGTGTTGTAGTCAGTGTTGTGGTCTACATGTCAGTGTTGTAGTCTACATGTCAGTGTTGTAGTCAGTGTTGTAGTCTACATGTCAGTGTTGTAGTCTACATGTCAGTGTTGTAGTCTACATGTCAGTGTTGTAGTCAGTGTTGTGGTCTACATGTCAGTGTTGTAGTCATTGTTGTAGTCTACATGTCAGTGTTGTAGTCAGTGTTGTAGTCTACATGTCAGTGTTGTAGTCTACATGTCAGTGTTGTAGTCTACATGTCAGTGTTGTAGTCTACATGTCAGTGTTGTAGTCTACATGTCAGTGTTGTAGTCTACATGTCAGTGTTGTAGTCAGTGTTGTGGTCTACATGTCAGTGTTGTAGTCTACATGTCAGTGTTGTAGTCAGTGTTGTAGTCAGTGTTGTAGTCTACATGTCAGTGTTGTAGTCTACATGTCAGTGTTGTAGTCTACATGTCAGTGTTGTAGTCATTGTTGTGGTCTACATGTCAGTGTTGTAGTCTACATGTCAGTGTTGTAGTCATTGTTGTGGTCTACATGTCAGTGTTGTAGTCTACATGTCAGTGTTGTAGTCTACATGTCAGTGTTGTAGTCTACATGTCAGTGTTGTAGTCAGTGTTGTAGTCTACATGTCAGTGTTGTAGTCAGTGTTGTAGTCTACATGTCAGTGTTGTAGTCAGTGTTGTAGTCTACATGTCAGTGTTGTAGTCTACATGTCAGTGTTGTAGTCTACATGTCAGTGTTGTGGTCTACATGTCAGTGTTGTAGTCTACATGTCAGTGTTGTAGTCAGTGTTGTAGTCTACATGTCAGTGTTGTAGTCAGTGTTGTAGTCTACATGTCAGTGTTGTGGTCTACATGTCAGTGTTGTGGTCTACATGTCAGTGTTGTAGTCTACATGTCAGTGTTGTAGTCTACATGTCAGTGTTGTAGTCAGTGTTGTAGTCTACATGTCAGTGTTGTAGTCAGTGTTGTAGTCTACATGTCAGTGTTGTAGTCTACATGTCAGTGTTGTAGTCAGTGTTGTGGTCTACATGTCAGTGTTGTAGTCTACATGTCAGTGTTGTAGTCTACATGTCAGTGTTGTGGTCTACATGTCATTGTTGTAGTCTACATGTCAGTGTTGTAGTCAGTGTTGTGGTCTACATGTCAGTGTTGTGGTCTACATGTCAGTGTTGTAGTCTACATGTCAGTGTTGTAGTCTACATGTCAGTGTTGTAGTCTACATGTCAGTGTTGTGGTCTACATGTCAGTGTTGTAGTCTACATGTCAGTGTTGTAGTCAGTGTTGTGGTCTACATGTCAGTGTTGTAGTCTACATGTCAGTGTTGTGGTCTACATGTCAGTGTTGTAGTCAGTGTTGTAGTCTACATGTCAGTGTTGTAGTCAGTGTTGTAGTCTACATGTCAGTGTTGTAGTCAGTGTTGTAGTCTACATGTCATTGTTGTAGTCTACATGTCAGTGTTGTAGTCTACATGTCAGTGTTGTAGTCAGTGTTGTGGTCTACATGTCAGTGTTGTGGTCTACATGTCAGTGTTGTAGTCAGTGTTGTAGTCTACATGTCATTGTTGTAGTCTACATGTCAGTGTTGTAGTCAGTGTTGTGGTCTACATGTCAGTGTTGTGGTCTACATGTCAGTGTTGTGGTCTACATGTCAGTGTTGTAGTCAGTGTTGTAGTCTACATGTCAGTGTTGTAGTCTACATGTCAGTGTTGTAGTCTACATGTCAGTGTTGTAGTCTACATGTCAGTGTTGTGGTCTACATGTCAGTGTTGTAGTCAGTGTTGTAGTCTACATGTCAGTGTTGTAGTCAGTGTTGTGGTCTACATGTCAGTGTTGTAGTCTACATGTCAGTGTTGTAGTCTACATGTCAGTGTTGTGGTCTACATGTCAGTGTTGTAGTCTACATGTCAGTGTTGTAGTCAGTGTTGTGGTCTACATGTCAGTGTTGTGGTCTACATGTCAGTGTTGTAGTCAGTGTTGTGGTCTACATGTCAGTGTTGTGGTCTACATGTCAGTGTTGTAGTCTACATGTCAGTGTTGTGGTCTACATGTCAGTGTTGTGGTCTACATGTCAGTGTTGTAGTCAGTGTTGTAGTCTACATGTCAGTGTTGTAGTCTACATGTCAGTGTTGTAGTCTACATGTCAGTGTTGTAGTCTACATGTCAGTGTTGTAGTCTACATGTCAGTGTTGTGGTCTACATGTCAGTGTTGTGGTCTACATGTCAGTGTTGTAGTCTACATGTCAGTGTTGTGGTCTAAATGTCAGTGTTGTAGTCTACATGTCAGTGTTGTAGTCTACATGTCAGTGTTGTAGTCTACATGTCAGTGTTGTAGTCAGTGTTGTAGTCTACATGTCAGTGTTGTAGTCTACATGTCAGTGTTGTAGTCTACATGTCAGTGTTTTGGTCTACATGTCAGTGTTGTAGTCTACATGTCAGTGTTGTAGTCTACATGTCAGTGTTGTGGTCTACATGTCAGTGTTGTAGTCTACATGTCAGTGTTGTAGTCTACATGTCAGTGTTGTAGTCTACATGTCAGTGTTGTAGTCAGTGTTGTAGTCTACATGTCAGTGTTGTAGTCTACATGTCAGTGTTGTAGTCTACATGTCAGTGTTGTAGTCTACATGTCAGTGTTGTAGTCTACATGTCAGTGTTGTAGTCTACATGTCAGTGTTGTAGTCTACATGTCAGTGTTGTAGTCTACATGTCAGTGTTGTAGTCAGTGTTGTAGTCTACATGTCAGTGTTGTAGTCTACATGTCAGTGTTGTAGTCTACATGTCAGTGTTGTAGTCTACATGTCAGTGTTGTAGTCTACATGTCAGTGTTGTGGTCTACATGTCAGTGTTGTGGTCTACATGTCAGTGTTGTAGTCTACATGTCAGTGTTGTGGTCTAAATGTCAGTGTTGTAGTCTACATGTCAGTGTTGTAGTCTACATGTCAGTGTTGTGGTCTACATGTCAGTGTTGTAGTCTACATGTCAGTGTTGTAGTCAGTGTTGTAGTCTACATGTCAGTGTTGTAGTCTACATGTCAGTGTTGTAGTCTACATGTCAGTGTTGTGGTCTACATGTCAGTGTTGTGGTCTAAATGTCAGTGTTGTGGTCTACATGTCATTGTTGTGGTCTACATGTCAGTGTTGTAGTCTACATGTCAGTGTTGTGGTCAACATGTCAGTGTTGTGGTCTACATGTCAGTGTTGTGGTCTACATGTCAGTGTTGTGGTCTACATGTCAGTGTTGTAGTCTACATGTCATTGTTGTGGTCTACATGTCAGTGTTGTGGTCTACATGTCAGTGTTGTAGTCTACATGTCATTGTTGTGGTCTACATGTCAGTGTTGTGGTCTACATGTCAGTGTTGTGGTCTACATGTCAGTGTTGTGGTCAACATGTCAGTGTTGTGGTCTACATGTCAGTGTTGTAGTCTACATGTCATTGTTGTGGTCTACATGTCATTGTTGTAGTCTACATGTCAGTGTTGTGGTCTAAATGTCAGTGTTGTAGTCTACATGTCAGTGTTGTGGTCTACATGTCAGTGTTGTAGTCTACATGTCAGTGTTGTAGTCTACATGTCAGTGTTGTGGTCTACATGTCAGTGTTGTGGTCTAAATGTCAGTGTTGTAGTCTACATGTCAGTGTTGTGGTCTACATGTCAGTGTTGTGGTCTACATGTCAGTGTTGTGGTCTACATGTCAGTGTTGTAGTCTATATGTCAGTGTTGTAGTCTACATGTCAGTGTTGTAGTCTACATGTCAGTGTTGTAGTCTACATGTCATTGTTGTGGTCTACATGTCAGTGTTGTGGTCTACATGTCAGTGTTGTAGTCTACATGTCAGTGTTGTGGTCTACATGTCAGTGTTGTAGTCTATATGTCAGTGTTGTAGTCTACATGTCAGTGTTGTGGTCTACATGTCAGTGTTGTAGTCTACATGTCAGTGTTGTGGTCAACATGTCAGTGTTGTGGTCTACATGTCAGTACCTCTATAGACCTGCTCAGCAAACTTGACATCCAAGTCCCGCTTGACCCTCCGAACCTCCTGCACACAGAACAGAAGACATGAGATCGGCGTACATATACACCCCCAGGGACAAACAGTTGAAACATCAAATATAACAACAACAATAATAATAATAACAATATCAATAATACACCATATATGTATACATTGTTCTAGATGTTCAGTTCTCATATTTTCATATTTTGTGCTCCAAGACATTTGTCTATGAAAGCCGAAGATTTATACAACTAGTCATTTAATTTTTTTAAAACAAATCACAAAATGATTTAGTTGCACATCATAGGTGGCTAACAAGAAAACGTGTTGTAGTGATTTTTTTCAGCTCCCTTCTTTTTCTACTTAACACGGTTTCACGGGTTTGTTATTTATATGTAAATGTGATTATTCTGCTTCAAAACGCGTCCACGTACATGGGAGTCAGCGAGTGAGTGTCTGACGTGGGAGCCAGCAGTACTGCAGCTCTATGACACATGCCTTACACTTGCAGTGTGAGTAACCCATGGCTGATCATAGCCTAAAGAAATATCCTAATGGTCCTTGTTCAAAATATGCACAACAAATATTAAAACCAAATCACACGAGATACAGGGCTTGAATTGAGGAAGTTGATTTAACTTGCACCAGGTGCATGTTGACATGCAAACCATGTGTTCACCGGACAAAACCAGGCTGCACCCTGGTCCCATCTGATGCATAAACTAGGGTAAACAAGTAAAATCCCAAGTCTCTGATGACTGTCATGTGTCATGAATTACACACAACACAGGGATTTGTGATGTAGTATGGTACTTAAAGCTTAATGGTATTGAGTGAGTTCAAAGATCAGATAGGCATTGCAGTAAGGGTTGGATTTGTTTTTACATTGCTAAATTGATGCCCGAGACATATATCAACCAATGCTAATATTCCTGGTCATATATAAAGATGGTTGGAGACACCACTGCTTCAATGATCCAAGCAGAGTCTGGGCTGGTAACACCATCATGTCCAGGAGTCAGATGGAGTGTTGAAAATGCAACACTTTCCACATATTCCCAAGGCAAGGGAGTTAACTGACTATAAAAGCCCAGTTTCACCCTTGTCAAACTAGGCTGGAATTTTGTAGCTCCATCTTAGCGCCACCAGTCTCAGTTATGAGTTATGTCCCTTCTATTGACCACTCGATTCCACATCTCATATCACTTGTATTTTCAGACGATCTGACCAATAATCAGGATCTCTATTGTAATAAAATGTGTCTTTACTCACAAAGTACATTAAATCACTTGAGCGCCCTGCTTAAAAATATGAAAAGATTTGCAAAATGTCTGTCGACACCCAATTTGTGGTACACATGCTTTGTAAATCATGTGGTCAACTGAAATCTGCACGGCAGTCACCATGTTGTTCATGAACCCAATGTTGAAGGGAAGATGAAGTTTCCAGTGGATAGATGGACAGGGGGCAGACAGTGGTTAACCAGGTCATACTAGCTTACATTAAGGTTGTGAAATATTATATTTGTCCTTCAAACTTCAGTTTCTTTATTTCGTACATGTTTAGGCCAACGGCCCATGGTACATATATTGGTCCACAGTATTAATTATTGACTCACGGTAGATAAAGGCATAATACAAATACATTGCGGTATTTTGAATTGTAGTTTGGTTACAGTCAGACATTAACATATTAAATTTATCCAGGGTAGGATAGACATAAAACATTTCATGGATATATTGTTGTCTTAAATTATCATCGGCTTTGCAAATTAACAAAAAGTGGTATTCATTTTCCACATAACCAATATTACATAATTTACAAATCCTCAAGTTTCTAGGTACATTGTTGTATCTTCCCGTTTCAATATATAAGGAATGCGAACTGCAACGAAAACGAGCTATTGCCGATCTAAATTTACTTATGTTCGAGAGAATGAGATTTAGAAATCTTACTTACCCGGTCCATGGTGAAGACCTCAATGTCCATGTGAGCTGCCAGCAGGATGGTGCCTCCAGGTGTCTCATAGATACCTGAACACAACACACTCATGTCACATCAACACCTGAACACAACACACCCTTGTCACATGAACACCTGAACACAACACACTCTTGTCACACCACCAACACCTGAACACAACACACTCTTGTCACACCAACACCTGAACACAACACACTCTTGTCACATCAACACCTGAACACAACACACTCTTAATCACACCACCAACACCTGAACACAACACACTCTTGTCACATCAACACCTGAACACAACACACTCTTGTCACATCAACACCTGAACACAACACACTCTTGTCACATCAACACCTGAACACAACACACTCTTGTCACATCAACACCTGAACACAACACACTCTTGTCACACCACCTGAACAAAACACACTCTTGTCACATCAGCACCTGAACACAACACACTCTTGTCACACCACCAACACCTGAACACAACACACTCTTGTCACACCACCAACACCTGAACACAACACACTCTTATCACAACACCTGAACACAACACTCTTATCACAACACCTGAACACAACACACTCTTGTCACAACACCAATACCTGAACACAACACACCCTCATTCCAACAACACAACATGTCAGATGATTTAAAACAAACACAACCTGAAAAAGCATTTGGAAGTTGTAAAAATTTATCAAATAAAAGTTCCCTTATACATGTGATACAAGCTTAAACACATCAATAATAAACTGACGTCCAAAAGAAACTTTACCAACTGAAAATATAAATTTCAGACAAAATTAATAATTTTTTTCGATGAAGTCTATCTAAAACACATAACCTAAATACAACAATAGTGTTTGCAGAAAATGTTTATCGTCTCTTACATGTTTGCGAGATAACACGCGAAAAAGTGAAAAACACATGCACCATGGACAACTGCAAATGCACGTGCGGGTAAGGGTATAAAACGATTGCAACGGCAAGTCAGACATCCACAGTGATAAAAAAAACACAAAAGATATACCATGACTCGCAGTCGAACAATGTGAACGAGCCTTGGGTATGGTACAGATGGGAGCCACCCACGCCCATATTGCACGAACCTTCGGTTGCTCCCTAGTTGCCGTTACCAACTTGATGCAACGTTACAGACAGACAGGGCGGACTGTTGACAGGCCAAGAACAGGCAGACCCAGGGTGACCACGCCCCATGATGACCGGTACTTGCGTACCTTTACCTCCGAAATCGCTTCCTGACAGTGAATTCATCGGTGACAAATACCTTAGGTCATGGTTAGTCGACAGACAGTGGCCAGGAGACTCAGGGCTCATGGAATCAGGGCTTTTAGACCATACAGAGGACAGCTATTGACAGCGCAACATCGTCGTCTGCGATTGAGATGGGCCCGGACTGTACGACGCTGGCAACGACGTGACTGGCAGAGGGTTGTCTTCACTGTTGAAAGTCCATTCTGTATGTTTAGGGCTGATGGAAGACAATGTGTTTACCGCCGAAGGGGCGTGTTGCGTGCAGGAGGTCGTACCATATGGTGGAGGGAATGTCATGGCGTGGGGAGGGATCTGTGGGCAGGAGAGGACACAGTTGGTCATCGTTGACGGAAACTTGACAGCTCAGCTTTACATGGATAACATTCTTCGTCCAGTTGTCCTACCATTTCTCCAACAGCAGCCACGTGGTGTCATTTATCAGCATGACAACGCTAGAGCCCATACAGCCAGAATTGTCACTAACTTTCTCCCAGCCAACAACGTCAACGCCCTGCCGTGGCCTGCACGCTCACCCGACATGTCCCCCATAGAACACCTCTGGGACTTGATGGATTGTCGCATTCGAACTGATCTTGGCCCTCCAAGAAGAATGGCGTCAAATCCCACGTGACCTCATCAGACGACTGACTTTTTCTGTGCGTCAAAGAGTTTTTGCGTGTATTGAGGCATTTGGTGGTCACACACGCTACTAATTACTTGTTATTGAAACGTGAGCGATTGTTTATGTACTCTGCCTATTGTCCATGATTCTGAAAGCTCGAGTTTTGTACCACACCGAAATTTGGGGGGCTCTGATGTCATTCTCGGTCGCGGTATGATTGTCAGTTTCAGTGTTGATTATGTTGTTATATTGATCTTCTCAATACACTTTACTTCATGTATTTATGTTTTGTTGTTTTTGAGCAAGAGTGATTTCAAACTCTGGTAAAGTTTCTTTTGGACGTCAGTTTATTTTAAAACATGCCTTCCCTTAGTGACAACAATCTCATCTTGTGTCTTCACCTGTAGCACAACACTCACCTCTTGACTTCATGCCAATGAATCTGTTCTCCACCAGGTCGACTTGGCCAATAGCATGCTTGCCCCTGAAGATAAGAATACCAAAATATGATTTCCAAGGTCCTGAAATAATATTTAAATAATAAATACCATTGATTAATATATACCATTGATAAACAAACGCATTGACTCAGACTGTGTTGTTTATTTTAACATGTTCAATGTTTCTTTGCAGCAGACATTGATGATGTGTCACGTCATTAATGATGTCAATAGTGCTTTCAACACTGTAGCTCACCTGGATATACAAAATTCTGAGAGAAAAAAGAAAATTGCTTTGCATGTTGTTATCAACAAAAACGCAACTCAACAGCAATATATATGCCAAACCAAAGCCAAGACAACAGACATGGCAACCAGAAGCCGTGACATGGCAGCCCACATCCAAGACTTCAGCAGCAGACATGGCAACCCACATCCAAGACTTCAGCAGCAGACATGGCAACCCACATCCAAGACTTCAGCAGCAGACATGGCAACCCACAGCCACAACCAAGACTTCAGCAGCAGACATGGCAACCCACATCCAAGACTTCAGCAGCAGACATGGCAACCCACATCCAAGACTTCAGCAGCAGACATGGCAACCCACATCCAAGACTTCAGCAGCAGACATGGCAACCCACATCCAAGACTTCAGCAGCAGACATGGCAACCCACATCTAAGACTTCATCAGCAGACATGGCAACCCACATCCAAGACTTCAGTAGCAGACATGGCAGCCCACAACCAAGGCTTCAGCAGCAGACATGGCATCCCACAGACAAGACTTCAGCAGCAGATATAGCAACCCACAGCCACAGCAAAGACTTCAGCAGCAGACATGGCAACCCACAGCCAAGACTTCAGCAGCAGACATGGCAACCCACAGCCAAGACTTCAGCAGCAGACATGGCAACCCATAGCCAAGACAGCAGCAGCTACATGGCAACCCACAGCCAAGACTTCAGCAGCAGACATGGCAACCCACAGCCAAGACTTCAGCAGCAGACATGACAACCCACATCCAAGACTTCAGCAGCAGACATGACAACCCACAGACAAGACAGCAGCAGCAGACATGACAACCCACAGACAAGACAGCAGCAGCAGACATGGCAACCGACAGACAAGACTTCAGCAGCAGACATGGCAACCCACAGACAAGACTTCAGCAGCAGAGATGGCAACCCACAGACAAGACAGCAGCGGCGACATGGCAACTCACAGACAAGAGAGCAGCAGCGACATGGCAACCCACAGCCACAGCAAAGACAGCAGCAGCAGACATGGCAACCAAAAGCCACAGCAAAGACTTCAGCAGCAGACATGGCAACCCACAGCCACAACCAAGACTTCAGCAGCAGACATGGCAGCACACATCCAAGACTTCAGCAGCAGACATGGCAGCACACATCCAAGACTTCAGCAGCAGACATGGCAACCCACAGCCACAACCAAGACTTCAGGAGCAGACATGGCAGCACACATCCAAGACTTCAGCAGCAGAAATGCAAGATACAGCCAAGACTTCAGCAGCAGACATGGCAACCACCAGCCACAACCAAGACTTCATCAGCAGACATGGCAACCCACATCCAAGACTTCAGCAGCAGACATGGCAACCCACAGCCACAACCAAGACTTCAGCAGCAGACATGGCAACCCACATCCAAGACTTCAGCAGCAGACATGGCAAAACACAGCCACAACCAAGACTTCAGCAGCAGACAAGGCAACCCACAGCCACAACCAAGACTTCAGGAGCAGACATGGCAGCACACAGCCACAGCAAAGACTTCAGCAGCAGACATGGCAACCCACATCCAAGACTTCAGCAGCAGACATGACAACCACCAGCCACAACCAAGACTTCATCAGCAGACATGACCACCCACATCCAAGACTTCAGCAGCAGACATGGCAACCACTAGCCACAACCAAGACTTCATCAGCAGACATGGCAACCCACATCGAAGACTTCAGCAGCAGACATGGCAACCCACAGCCACAACCAAGACTTCATCAGCAGACATGGTAACCCACATCCAAGACTTCAGCAGCAGACATGGCAACCCACAGCCACAACCAAGACTTCATCAGCAGACATGGCAACCCACATCCAAGACTTCAGCAGCAGACATGGCAACCCACAGACAAGACAGAAGCAGCAGACATGGCAATCCACATCCAAGACTTCAGCAGCAGACATGGCAACCCACTGACAACACTTCAGCAGCAGACATGGCAACCCACAGACAAGACAGAAGCAGCAGACATGGCAATCCACATCCAAGACTTCAGCAGCAGACATGGCAACCCACATACAAGACTTCAGCAGCAGACATGGCAACCTACAGCCACAGCAAAGACTTCAGCAGCAGACATGGCAACCAACAGCCACAACCAAGACTTCAGCAGCAGACATGGCAACCCACTGACAAGACTTCAGCAGCAGACATGGCAACCCACTGACAAGACTTCAGCAGCAGACATGGCAACCCACAGACAAGACAGAAGCAGCAGACATGGCAACCCACATACAAGACTTCAGCAGCAACAGCCAATATTTCTGATTTCCATCGCTCAAAATACTCAAATCAAAATAAAGTTGCACATCTTCATGTTACCAGGGCAACATTACATAGATAACATTTTATGAATGCTTCACCAGGTTTAACTTTCATGCTTTCCCCACACCCACAAGTCTGATGTTCCCTAGTGACTGCACTCACAGCTTGACTTCACACCCACAAGTCTGACTCTCCCGTGGTGACTGCACTCACAGCTTGACTTCACACCCACCAACAAGTCTGACACTCCCGTGGTAACTGCACTCACAGCTTGACTTCACACCCACCAACAAGTCTGACACTCCCGTGGTGACTGCACTCACAGCTTGACTTCACACCCACTAACAAGTCTGACACTCCCTAGTGACTGCACTCACAGCTTGACTTCACACCCACCAACAAGTCTGACGCTCCCGTGGTGACAACACTCACAGATTGACTTCACACCCACCAACAAGTCTGACTCTCCCCTAGTGACTGTAGCACTATACTCACACCTTGACTTCACACTCAAAAACAAGCCTGACCCTCCCCTAATGACTGAAGCACAACACTCACACCTTGCCTTCACACCCACCAACAAGTCTGACACTCCCTTAGTGACTGTAGCACTACACTCACACCTTGACTTCACATCAACCAACAAGTCTGACTCTCCCCTAGTGACTGTAGCACTACACTCACACCTTGCCTTCACACCCACCAACAAGTCTGACACTCCCCTAATGACTGTAGCACTACGCTCACACCTTGCCTTCACACCCACCAACAAGTCTGACACTCCCCTAGTGACTGTAGCACTACACTCACACCTTGCCTTCACACCCACCAACAAGTCTGACACTCCCCTAGTGACTGTAGCACTACACTCACAGATTGACTTCACACCCACCAACAAGTCTCATTTGATATCATCATCAGCAATGGTGAAAAGGTAAACCCTGTGAAGACTACTTGATAACATGAAGCCCTGACTTGCACAACTATGACCTATTATAGACAAATTATAGCATTTACATATTTAATCATATTCTTGCATCAAAGGTTTGTCACAATGTTCCAGTGAATAAAAGTTGGTATTTTCTTTAGATTTGTTTTCAGCAGGTATGGTTATGTTGCATTTGTGTCTCTCAGTCTTAATTTCATCCTGTAATTGCCTCAGAAATGCAGCAAAATATGCTCTGTTATTGTCTGACTTTTTGGAAGATAGTCCACCATGATGACACCTTGGCATCCCAGGCCATTATCTTGCCAGCTGATGGGACAGTCCCTGCCTTCTTTTGTGCTGGTGATGTCAAATGCTTCAATAGTTCACACATGTTGCAAGAATCTTTCTGACTCAGCTTCAAACAGAGCTAAAGCTATCATTAAACATGTTGTGCTTTGTTTGTGTTTGATCAGATGTCAGTAGCTTTGGAACCCAACAAACCGATACTTTCTGCCAAACTTTTTGTCATAATGTAATGAACTCACTCCTGGAAAATGCCTGTTATTAATCGGTTGGTCATCACCATCTTGTGGCTTCTCTGGATCATTCCTGGTGTCATCTTCAAGGCTCTCCCTGCAATGCTTAAACTCTGCTGCCCACCTCTTTACAGTGTTATATGCTTCCTTCCCTTGTGTTGTGCTCATATCTTCATAGATGGCTTTTGGTGTCACTGCATGTCCTCAAGTTAGTCTATTTTCCAAAGGACAAAGGACCCTGCTTATTTTACTGACTTGTCACAGCAATCCAGTTTTCTCAACTCACTCATGTTGTTTGTGGATATACCTCTATGGCATCATGTAATGACCAATCAAAAGATTTCACTTTGATGAAATGTCTTCTGTGTGAGGCTCAGAGGCTATCAGTCAACCCTGGTACATCGCTGGTGAGTCTGTCACTTAGCACCGTGTCACCACGAATTGTCAATGTCCAATAGCCATACATCAAGACAGGATAACCAACCTAGCCAATATGTTCTCGTGCTTGCTGATTGCAAATCAATAGCAGAATTGACACAGTAAACACAGTGGCACAAATTGGTTGGGAAATCAATGCAATGCTCATGTAATCAGTCAAGTACATGTACAAGTTCTATAAGGATGGCTATTTTAGCAGTTTAGTAGCAAGTAACTACAGTTAGGACATCGAGTTACAGAGCTGGGGAGGGACAACATACACAAATATCTGACATGGAGAACATCACCTTAACTGTGTCATTTGACTACAGTGTGTGAGATACATAGGCCTTCTGCATAGACAGTCAAACTTTTCTAAATCATAAATGAATGTTGCCTTATGCCACAATCTGGAATAAAACCATCAACAATTAATAAGGGAACAAATGATTTGAATGTGTTGTGGTGTACATTTACAATACTGTGGTGCTGCATCTGAACGCAACATCTAATCACAACGGAATTTCACATCATGCATGAACAGCACGTGATGCACGTGTACAAAGTGTGAGCTAAGCACATGTTTAAAAAGGTGAGGTGAGGTGAAATTGGGTTTAACGTCGCGTCCAAGATTATTGCACTTATATAGCGACGTGCATGCACGTGTGTGTGTGTGTGTGGCTGCTTGTACTAGTCCGGACTGATGCCGATTTATAGTGCTAGCTCACTGAGATACCATGCCGCAGTTTAACATGAATACCCCACTCAGACACAGTATACTGACTCCGAGCCGACCAGTCCTTGTTTTAGCCCCTTAATGCCGAGCGCCAGACAGGGTAACAACAAGTACAATCTTTTAACGTCTTTTTGTATGACGCGGCCCGGGATCGAACCCTGGACCTTCCGCTCTCCGGGCGGACGCTCTACCACAAGACCACGGAGGCGGTCCTTTAAAAAGGACCCTGACTATCTCGATGAACAGACATGTAGTATAACATTCAGTGATGACTTCTCTTCAAAAGTAAACCTCTCGTGAAGATCCAGGTTAGATTAGGTATTCAGAACCCCATGCTTGACGTAAGAGACATTATGAATTCAAATTTTCATGAGACCCGTGAAGATCTGGGATAGAATAGGTCCCCAGCTTGCTTGTCGTTAGGGTTGACTAACGGGACCGGATGGTCTGGTTCGCTCACTTGGTTGATGCATGTCATCGTATCCCAATTTTGTGGATCAATACTCATGATGTCAGTCTCTGAATTGTCTGTCCAGAGTTGATTATTAACAGATCCGCGTCATATAGTTGGAATATTGCTGAGTGTGCAAACAAACAAACAAACAAAAGTAAACATCTTGAGCCCTATGGTGTCCTCTGGCCCGGATGTATACATCCTGGGGGTGAGGAATCTGGTGAGGCACTTGCTAAGGTTACAACATCCATCCGTGTGGTCTCCTGACAAGTAGGCAGCCTGGGAACTGTCATCTGAGTAAAAGGTCTGACAGTGGTTTCACGCCTCCCTCTGGTACCCGACTACACCACCTTCTCAACAAAGTGAACCTACCTGAGGTGGTTGTGTTAGCAAAGTGAACCTACCTGAGGTGGTTGTATTTGCAAAGTGAACTTACCTAAGGTGGTTCTGTTAGCAAAGTGAACCTACCTGAGGTGGGTGTGTCAACAAAGTGAACCTACCCGAGGTGGTTGTGTTAGCAAAGTGAACCTACCTGAGGTGGTTGTGTCAGCAAAGTGAACCTATCTGAAGTGGTTGTGTCAACAAAGTGAACCTACCTGAGGTGGTTGTGTCAACAAAGTGAACCTACTTGAGGTGGTTGTGTCAACAAAGTGAACCTACCTGAGGTGGTTGTGTCAACAAAGTGAACCTACCTGAGGTGGTTGTGTTAGCAAAGTGAACCTACCTGAGGTGGTTGTGTTAGCAAAGTGAACCTATCTGAGGTGGTTGTGTCAACAAAGTGAACCTACCTGAGGTGGTTGTAAGGACAAAGTGAATGTACCTGAGGTGGTTGAGTCAACAAAGTGAACCTACCTGAGGTGGTTGTGTTAGCAAAGTGAATGTACCTGAGGTGGTTCTAAGGACAAAGTGAACCTACCTGAGGTGGTTCTAAGGACAAAGTGAACCTACCTGAGGTGGTTCTAAGGACAAAGTGAACCTACCTGAGGTGGTTGAGTCAACAAAGTGAACCTACCTGAGGTGGTTGAGCCAACAAAGAGAACCTACCTGAGGTGGTTGAGTCAACAAAGTGAACCTATCTGAGGTGGTTGTGTTAGCAAAGTGAACCTATCTGAGGTGGTTAAGTCAACAAAGTGAACCTACCTGAGGTGGTTGAGTCAACAAAGTGAACCTACCTGAGGTGGTTGAGTCAACAAAGTGAACCTATCTGAGGTGGTTGTGTTAGCAAAGTGAACCTACCTGAGGTGGTTGTGTCAACAAAGTGAACCTACCTGAGGTGGTTGGGTCAGCAATGTGAACCTACCTGAGGTGGATGTGTCAACAAAGTGAACCTACCTGAGGTGGTTGAGTCAGAAAAGTGAATCTACCTGAGGTGTTTGTGTCAGAAAAGTGAACCTACCTGAGGTGGTTGAGTCAGAAAAAGTGAACCTACCTGAGATGGTTGTAAGGACAAAGTGAACCTACCTGAGATGGTTGTGTCAACAAAGTGAACCTACCTGAGATGGTTGTGAGGACAAAGTGAACCTACCTGAGATGGTTGTGAGGACAAAGTGAACCTACCTGAGATGGTTGTGAGGACAAAGTGAACCTACCTGAGGTGGTTGTAAGGACAAAGTGAACCTACCTGAGATGGTTGTGAGGACAAAGTGAACCTACCTGAGGTGGTTGTAAGGACAAAGTGAATGTACCTGAGATGGTTGTAAGGACAAAATGAATCTACCTCAGGTGGTTGTGTCAGAAAAGTGAACCTACCTGAGGTGGTTGAGTCAGAAAAAGTGAACCTACCTGAGATGGTTGTAAGGAGAAAGTGAATGTACCTGAGATGGTTGTGTCAACAAAGTGAACCTACCTGAGGTGGTTGTAAGGACAAAGTGAACCTACCTCAGGTGTTTGTGTCATCAAAGTGAACCTACCTGAGGTGGTTTTGTTAGCAAAGTGAACCTACCTGAGGTAGTTGAGTCAACAAAGTGAACCTACCTGAGGTGGTTGAGTCCACAAAGTGAACCTACCTGAGGTGGTTGAGTCAGAAAAAGTGAACCTACCTGAGATGGTTGTAAAGACAAAGTGAATGTACCTGAGATGGTTGTAAGGACAAAGTGAACCTACCTGAGATGGTTGTAAAGACAAAGTGAACCTACCTGAGGTGGTTGTGTCAACAAAGAGAACCTACCTGAGGTGGTTGTGTTAGCAAAGTGAACCTATCTGAGGTGGTTGTGTTAGCAAAGTGAACCTACCTGAGGTGGTTGTGTTAGCAAAGTGAACCTACCTGAGGTGGTTGAGTCAGAAAAAGTGAACCTACCTGAGATGGTTGTAAGGACAAAGTGAATGTACCTGAGATGGTTGTAAGAACAAAGTGAACCTACCTGAGGTGGTTGTGCCAACAAAGTGAACCTACCTGAGGTGGTTGTGTCAACAAAGTGAACCTACCTGAGGTGGGTGTGTCAGCAATGTGAACCTACCTGAGGTAGTTGAGTCAACAAAGTGAACCTACCTGAGGTGGTTGAGTCCACAAAGTGAACCTACCTGAGGTGGTTGAGTCAGAAAAAGTGAACCTACCTGAGATGGTTGTAAAGACAAAGTGAATGTACCTGAGATGGTTGTAAGGACAAAGTGAACCTACCTGAGATGGTTGTAAAGACAAAGTGAACCTACCTGAGGTGGTTGTGTCAACAAAGAGAACCTACCTGAGGTGGTTGTGTTAGCAAAGTGAACCTATCTGAGGTGGTTGTGTTAGCAAAGTGAACCTACCTGAGGTGGTTGTGTTAGCAAAGTGAACCTACCTGAGGTGGTTGAGTCAGAAAAAGTGAACCTACCTGAGATGGTTGTAAGGACAAAGTGAATGTACCTGAGATGGTTGTAAGAACAAAGTGAACCTACCTGAGGTGGTTGTGCCAACAAAGTGAACCTACCTGAGGTGGTTGTGTCAACAAAGTGAACCTACCTGAGGTGGGTGTGTCAGCAATGTGAACCTACCTGAGGTGGTTGAGTCAACAAAGTGAACCTATTTGAGGTGGTTGAGTCAGAAAAAGTGAACCTACCTAAGATGGCTGTAAAGACAAAGTGAACCTATCTGAGGTGGTTGTGTTAGCAAAGTGAACCTATCTGAGGTGGTTGTGTCAACAAAGTGAACCTACCTGAGATGGTTGTGTCAGCAATGTGAACCTACCTGAGGTGGTTGAGTCAACAAAGTGAACCTAATTGAGGTGGTTGTGTTAGCAAAGTGAACCTACCTGAGGTGGTTGTAAGGACAAAGTGAACCTACCTGAGGTGGTTGTGTCAGCAAAGTGAACCTATCTGAGGTGGTTGTGTCAGAAAAGTGAACCTACCTGAGGTGGTTGTAAAGACAAAGTGAACTTACCTGAGGTGGTTGTGTCAACAAAGTGAACCTACCTGAGGTGGTTGTGTCAGAAAAGTGAACCTACCTGAGGTGGTTGAGTCAGAAAAAGGGAACCTACCTGAGATGGTTGTAAAGACAAAGTGAATGTACCTGAGATGGTTGTAAAGAAAAGGTGAACCTACCTGAGATGGTTGTAAAGACAAACTGAATGTACCTGAGGTGGTTGTGTCAACAAAGTGAACCTACCTGAGGTGGTTGTAAGGACAAAGTGAACCTACCTGAGGTGGTTGTGTCAACAAAGTGAACCTACCCGAGGTGGTTGATTCAACAAAGTGAACCTATTTGAGGTGGTTGAAAGGACAAAGTGAATGTACCTGAGATGGTTGTAAGGACAAAATGAATGTACCTGAGGTGGTTGTAAGGACAAAGTGAATGTACCTGAAGTGGTTGTAAGGACAAAGTGAATGTACCTGAAGTGGTTGTAAGGACAAAGTGAATGTACCTGAGGTGGTTGTAAGGACAAAGTGAACCTACCCGACCTTGTTGAGGTACACGAAAAGATCATAAGGTGTGTTTTTCTCTGTCCCATCCTCCAAGTTCTTCACTCTCACTGGCACACCTGACAAATACATTTAGTTTGGAATCATTACAGCATCCCAATCCTCTTCCCCACACAACACACAATAAACACTCTGAAATCTACACGACAGAATAAAAACACTGAAATCTACAATTCCATACACTCCACACAATAATGCCCAATAGTCCACACTTCCATACACTCCACACAACAAACACCCCACAGTCCACACTTCCATACACTCCACACAACAAACACCCCACAGTCCACACTACCATACACTCCACACAACAAACACCCCACAGTCCACACTTCCATACACTCCACACAACAAACACCTCATAGTCCACACTTCCATACACTCCACACAACAAACACCTCATAGTCCACACTTCCATACACTCCACACAACAAACACCCCGTAGTCCACATACATCTTTTATACGTACCTGCTTTAAACTCAATGTCCAGACATTCGGCCTTGTCCGGCGCCTTCTCTGGAAGTACAGTCATGTGGAAGAGATCGGCTGGTGCATGGTGGTTCGGGTCCTCCAGGACGCCCGACTCATAGCTGCAACAAGGAGCACATCTTCACCAGCTGGAGGACAGAGTTCCACACCAACCCACAACCTCCTTGCCTCCCTCCCTCTTTTCCCATGTTCCATGTCCCCTGGCTACCTTCTAGCAACATCGATTGAGCTTAAAGCCTTACTTACCCCACCCCACCCAGTATCTATGTCCCCTGGCTACCTTCTAGCCTCATCGACCGAGCTTAAAGCCTTACTTACCCCACCCCACCCAGTATCCATGTCCCCTGGCTACCTTCTAGCCACATCGACCGAGCTTAAAGCCTTACTTAACCCACCCAACCCGGAATCTATGTCCCTCAGCCTTACTTACCCCACCCCACCCAGTATCCATGTCCCCTGACTACCTTCTAGCCACATCCATTGAGCTTAAAGCCTTACTTAACCCACCCAACCCGGAATCTATGTCCTCAGCCTTACTTAACCCACCCAAACCAGTATCTACGTCATCAGCCTTACTTAACCCAACCCACCCAGTATCTATCTCCTCAGCCTTACTTAACCCGACCAGTATCTATGTCCTCAGCCTCACTTACTCTACCCAGTATCTATGTCCCCAGCCTCACTTACTCCACCCAGTATCTATGTCCCCAGCCACACTTACTCCACCCAGTATCTATGTCCCCAGCCTTACTTACCCCACCCTGTATCTATGTCCCCAGCCTCACTTACTCCACCCAGTATCTATGTCCCCAGCCTCACTTACTCCACCCAGTATCTATGTCCCCAGCCTTACTTACCCCACCCAGTATCTATGTCCCCTGCCTGAATTACCCCACCCAGTATCTATGTCCCCAGCCTTACTTACTCCATCCAGTATCTATGTCCCCAGCCTCACTTACACCATCCAGTATCTATGTCCCCAGCCTTACTTACCCCACCCAGTATCTATGTCCCCAGCCATTCTTACCCCACCCAGTATCTTTGTCCCCAGCCTTACTTACCCCACCCTGTATCTATGTCCCCAGCCTCACTTACTCCATCCAGTATCTATGTCCCAAACCTTACTTACCCCACCCAGTATCTATGTCCCCAGCCTTACTTACCCCACCCAGTATCTATGTCCCCAGCCTTACTTACCCCACTCAGTATCTATGTCCCCAGCCATACTTACCCCACCCAGTATCTATGTCCCCAGCCTTACTTACCCCACCCAGTATCTATGTCCCCAGCCATACTTACCCCACCCAGTATCTATGTCCCCAGCCTCACTTACTCAATCCATTATCTATGTCCTCAGCCATACTTACCCCACCCAGTATCTTTGTCCCCAGCCATACTTACTCTACCCAGTATCTATGTCCCCAGCCTCACTTACTCTACCCGGTATCTATGTCCCCAGCCTTACTTACCCCACCCAGTATCTATGTCCCCAGCCTCACTTACTCCATCCAGTATCTATGTCCCCAGTCTTACTTACCCCACTCAGTATCTATGTCCCCAGACTTACTTACCCCACCCAGTATCTATGTCCCCAGCCATTCTTACCCTACCCAGTATCTATGTCCTCAGCCATTCTTACCCCACCCAGTATCTATGTTCCCAGCCTTACATAATCCACCCAGTATCTATGTCCCCAGCCTTACATAATCCATCCAGTATCTTTGTCCCCAGTCTTACATAATCCATCCAGTATCTTTGTCCCCAGCCTTACATAATCCACCCTGTATCTATGTCCCCAGCCTTACATAATCCATCCAGTATCTTTGTCCCCAGCCTTACATAATCCATCCAGTATCTATGTCCCCAGTCTTACTTACCCCACCCAGTATCTATGTCCCCAGCCTTACATAATCCATCCAGTATCTATGTCCCCAGCCATACTTACCCCACCCTGTATCTATGTCCCCAGCCTTACATAATCCATCCAGTATCTATGTCCCCAGTCTTACTTACCCCACCCAGTATCTATGTCCCCAGCCTCACTTACTCCATCCAGTATCTTTGTCCCCAGCCTTTCTTTTCCCACCCAGTATCTATGTCCCCAGCCTTACATAATCCACCCAGTATCTATGTCCCCAGTCTTACTTACCCCACCCAGTATCTATGTCCCCAGCCTTACATAATCCATCCAGTATCTATGTCCCCAGCCATACTTACCCCACCCTGTATCTATGTCCCCAGCCTTACATAATCCATCCAGTATCTATGTCCCCGTCTTACTTACCCCACCCAGTATCTATGTCCCCAGCCTCACTTACTCCATCCAGTATCTTTGTCCCCAGTCTTACTTACCCCACTCAGTATCTATGTCCCCAGCCTTACATAGTCCATCCAGTATCTATGTCCCCAGCCTTACATAATCCATCCAGTATCTATGTCCCCAGCCTTACATAATCCATCCAGTATCTTTGTCCCCAGCCTTTCTTTTCCCACCCAGTATCTATGTCCCCAGCCTTTCTTTCCCCACCCAGTATCTTTGTCCCCAGCCTTTCTTTTCCCACCCAGTATCTATGTCCCCAGCCTTACATAATCCACCCAGTATCTATGTCCCCAGTCTTACTTACCCCACCCTGTATCTTTGTCCCCAGCCTTACATAATCCACCCAGTATCTATGTCCCCAGTCTTACTTATCCACCCCACACGGTGACTATGTCCGATGCTGTACTTACATTGTAGCACCCAGTGCCCCACCCCCCTACCTGTGTCCCCAGTTCTACCCCTGCAGCCATCACCTTATGTGCATCATGTTGGCATCCATACTCCAGGGGGACTTGGGTGTCACAGGTAATGGGATCCCTTTTTGCTGAAACAAAAACCCAGACAAATGGCATGGTGGTGAAAGTCTTACTGCTTGTCACTGTAAACTGACAATGTAATGGACAAAACAACAATTCTCAGTGTAATATGAGACACACACATACCATTGGGAAACAACAGGATTTTCATTCTGTTTTCATTCTGAGCAATCAAAATAGGTAATTGCTTATATGCGTCTGTGAGAGATCCATGGCCAAGTGGCAAAATTACCTCTGCATATTCAAACAGGTCCTTCCTCCCAGTGAACCTCTTGTAAAACTCAGGCAGTCGCCATGGAGATATCACCTAACAACAAGAAAGTTGTCTTATTGAAATGCTCAATCTCTCAACCGCTACACAAAGACCTGAGGACATAACAGGTCACGTCACAACTACCTTCTGCGAACTATGACCGAACAATGAAATGAGGAAGTTGACATTAATCAGCCAATCAGAAATAACTTTTCTCTAGTTTTACAGAAATTGTTTCAAAATTGCAACTTCAGTGCCAGACTACGCTTTGAAAAATATTCTCAGTTAACTATTTCAAAAATGGACAAAACAAAAATATGTTTTGAATGTCTAATGGATGGCTGAGTTTGTGTGGCAGTACTTCCCACAGGCTGTGGAGTCTCTTCCGTTACAGCCTATGACTGTCATTCGGAGGGCCTCATCCTTCAGTCAGACTTTCACTCTTGTGACCTCTAAGACAATACTCTGATTGATCGGATGAAAGGGCATTTTGCATGTCCTGTAATGGGATAATGTCCTCTGATCTTTGTGTAATTATAGCAAGCACTAAACTCTTATTTTAATGAGAGTGATTAAAATACTCAACAGAAGATAAAACCAATTACTTATTATTGTTGAAAGTGAGAAACAGCGGATCATCCAGGCATTAAACTGTTCATTCTTTGTCTTGAAGAAGAAATACACTTTTTTAAAATGAAATTCCAGTGGAGAAAAGTAAATGCTTCCCACCAAACAAACAAAATGATACATTTAGCCAAGAGTTACATGTAAGGGGTACACACCTGAATGCTGGGGTGAAGTGCGTAGGCTCCCAGCTCAAACCTAATCTGGTCGTTCCCTTTTCCAGTCGCTCCATGGGCGACAAATTGGGCATTCTCCTCTTGGGCAATCTTCACCATAGCACTGTGGCATGTGACAAAGAGATAGTTATATACACTTGTGTGTACATCACAGCACTGTGGCATATGACATAGACATACCCAGCAGGTGTGTGTATTATCTCACCGTGCTATCAGTGGTCCAGCTAAGGCCATACCCAGCAGGTGTGTGTATTAACTCACCGTGCTATCAGTGGTCCAGTTAAGGCCATACCCAGCAGGTGTGTGTATTAACTCACCGTGCTATCAGAGGTCCAGTTAAGGCCATACCCAGCAGGTGTGTGTATTAACTCACCGTGCTATCAGAGGTCCAGTTAAGGCCAAACCCAGCAGGTGTGTGTATTAACTCACCGGGCTATCAGTGGTCCAGTTAAGGCCATACCCAGCAGGTGTGTGTATCAACTCACCGGGCTATCAGTGGTCCAATTAAGGCCCTACCCAGAAGGTGTGTGTATCAACTCACCGGGCTATCAGTGGTCCAGTTAAGGCCATACCCAGCAGGTGTGTGTATTAACTCACCGGGCTATCAGTGGTCCAATTAAGGCCATACCCAGCAGGTGTGTGTATCAACTCACCGGGCTATCAGTGGTCCAGTTAAGGCCATACCCAGCAGGTGTGTGTATTAACTCACCGGGCTATCAGTGGTCCAGTTAAGGCCATACCCAGCAGGTGTGTGTATCAACTCACCGGGCTATCAGTGGTCCAATTAAGGCCCTACCCAGCAGGTGTGTGTATTAACTCACCGTGCTATCAGAGGTCCAGTTAAGGCTATACCCAGCAGGTGTGTGTATTAACTCACCGTGCTATCAGACGTCCAGTTAAGGCCATACCCAGCAGGTGTGTGTATTAACTCACCGTGCTATCAGAGGTCCAGTTAAGGCCATACCCAGCAGGTGTGTGTATTAACTCACCGGGCTATCAGTGGTCCAATTAAGGCCCTACCCAGAAGGTGTGTGTATCAACTCACCGGGCTATCAGTGGTCCAGTTAAGGCCATACCCAGCAGGTGTGTGTATCAACTCACCGGGCTATCAGTGGTCCAGCTAAGGCCCTACCCAGAAGGTGTGTGTATCAACTCACCGGGCTATCAGTGGTCCAGTTAAGGCCATACCCAGCAGGTGTGTGTATCAACTCACCGTGCTATCAGTGGTCCAGCTAAGGCCCTACCCAGAAGGTGTGTGTATCAACTAACCGGGCTATCAGTGGTCCAGTTAAGGCCATACCCAGCAGGTGTGTGTATCAACTCACCGGGCTATCAGTGGTCCAGTTAAGGCCATACCAAGCAGGTGTGTGTATTAACTCACCGGGCTATCAGTGGTCCAGTTAAGGCCCTACCCAGCAGGTGAGTGTATCAACTCACCGTGCTATCAGTGGTCCAGCTAAGGCCCTACCCAGAAGGTGTGTGTATCAACTCACCGGGCTATCAGTGGTCCAGTTAAGGCCATACCCAGCAGGTGTGTGTATCAACTCACCGTGCTATCAGTGGTCCAGCTAAGGCCCTACCCAGAAGGTGTGTGTATCAACTAACCGGGCTATCAGTGGTCCAGTTAAGGCCATACCCAGCAGGTGTGTGTATCAACTCACCGGGCTATCAGTGGTCCAGCTAAGGCCCTACCCAGCAGGTGTGTGTATCAACTCACCGGGCTATCAGTGGTCCAGCTAAGGCCCTACCCAGAAGGTGTGTGTATCAACTCACCGGGCTATCAGTGGTCCAATTAAGGCCCTACCCAGAAGGTGTATGTATCAACTCACCGGGCTATCAGAGGCCGAGCTAAGGCTGTACCCAGCAGGTATCGGTCCTCGTAGAGAGCATTAGATCTTACAGCTGGCCAGATAAACTCCTCTACAAACTCCTTCTGTAGGTCAGGAACTATCATCTGAAAGTAAAGCAATAGTTTGAGGTGAGGAAAAAATGGAGCTTAACGTCGCATCCAAGAATATTGTGTTATAATAGCGATGAGCATGCGTGTGAGTGTATTTGTGTCTGCTTGTACTAGTCCAGACTACTTTATAGTGCTGGTCCACTAAGAGACCATGCCACAGTTTAACATGAATACCCCACTCAGACACAGTATACTGACTCCGCGCCGACCAGTCCTTGTTTTAGCCCCTTATTGCCAAGCGCCAGGTAGCGTAACAATAAGTCCCATCTTTTATCTTTTTTGGTATGATGCGGCCGGGGATCGAACCCTGGGTCTTCCACTTTCAGGGCCGATGTTCTACCACCAGACAACAGAGGCGGGCACAACATTACAATATAGACATGAGTCAACAGGGATATCAATTTAGCTTGTAATTCATGCACCAGTGGAACCAATTATTGTAAATTGCAACGTGATATTTATGCCCACATGCACCAAGCGCATGTCAATAAATTTTAAATTTATGTCAGACTAACCTTCACTTGTCCACAAAAAATCAATCTTTGAAAACACTCAAAATCTGTTAGCTTTGTATTCCACAATACATCACTAATCCCTGTGCTGTGTGTAATTTACCGTAATTGGGCTTGATGTCATCACAATGTGGGTACTTCAAGATTATGTGCTCCTGTTATGTTTACCAGCAATAGGTCAGTGATCATTGATATATGGGACACTGTTTCGCCTTTGATAGATTTATGGGACCAGGGTGCAACCTGGTTTTGTTTAGTGGCCAGTTAAAACAAGTTCCTTAAATAAAGATCTGGTAAAGTCTCCACTTCCGGTCTGGCCACATCAACAATGCTTCTCTAATGAAGTTCTACTGCATACTGGAAGTCAAAATGTCTTACCTTCACATTTCTGAATTTTGCATTCTTATTGGTCTACCAGCAGTATCGAATCTATGTAATACATGTGCAATAACTTTGCTGAGAACACTTCTTTCTCAAACCCGATCAGTAGGCATTTTTATACAATGACTCACATTCTGATAAAAGATGTTGCAAGTCCTAAGTTTGAAACTCTGATTTATTGCCTGCAAATAATCAAAATTTGAAAACTAAAATTAAATGGAATCAAATCTATGTTGGGTCTGAGATGACTCCTCTTTGTATTTTGCATAGCATCATTTGATTCCTGAGAACAAAAATTGTTTAAGTATCGAATAAGTAGAATAAGTAAATAACTAGCTTCAGTGAACCTGTCAAAGAAAAAAAACAGACTTTAGTCCACACCAGAAACATATTGAGGTGCTGTATGTACTTCGCAAATTTACCATTTAGTAAAATTTGCCTCTGACTTCCTTCAATCCATATTCTGAACTGATACTGAAGGACAAACACATGACCAACTTATCATACTGATGCCCCCAACCAAGCCAATACACTTGAACAGTCTGTAAACATTCTGGAAACGGTTCTCATCAATAAGTTTGCATTTTATGTAAGTTATGTAAGTGAGATCACTTTTGTAACAAGACTTAGAACCTTACAATTGTTATCATTTGAATGCATATTTCTAAAAACTCTATTATTCAAGCAAAATTGGTCAAAACAAGGCTCATATATACTTTCACTATGAGTCTTCCCAAGGCCAGAGTGTCCCCTGGCCTAAGTTCCACCCTTGCCATTTCAAGACGACTTTTCTTGGCTCGATCGTCACTAGGCGACAGAAACCCAGAGTAGTCCAATCCAACTTCCAGTCATATCGCTGTTCTTAATTCAAATGTCTTTACATATATTACTACCATAACAGCATCAACCTGGTTGATCAGATCACAAAAGCATTTGAAATTTCCTCCCTGACAGACAAACAAAATGACTCAATACCACCATGAAGACATTTCTTACAATACTAGAGGCACACAGACTGCACAGTATCAAGTAACACTGCACATCACACTGACAGGAAACTCTCTGTAAAACTAGCACTGCAGCTCACTCACTGCGGTAAGCAATCAGTCATTTGAGTTAAAAAAACAATGAGGTTGCAAAATTTAAAAATATATAAAAGTACTGGGGCTAGTTGACTGAAAACTTTAAAGCACTTCTCAAATAGTTGTCTTTGCTTAATTTTTGGAATATTTTTAGTGCAAATTCAATAGGCGATGATTGTGGCCATACCAGAGACCACATTTTCGGAACCTGGGTGTTGATTTTGTAAAGTGTTTTCTAAGTGGACTATCAATATGTGAAGTAGTCCTCTTAAAAGCTTGAAATGACAAGGGTGAAAACTAGACTTTGATGTAGGCAGTGTTCACAATTGCCTCGAGGAGATGATCCTTCCAATTCTTATCATACTTTGAAAACTGAAATATGTCATATCTATATTCCAATAAAACCTTTAGAAATCAGTGCTCCACAAGTCATGTTTAGTAGTCATACACTTTCCAAGTTGTCATACACTTACTTCACAAACCATTAAATAAGTTTATCACCTGTGACATAAATAGGACACTGCTCGCTGATGTATCTTATCCCCACATACATGTACATGGGTCACTGCCTGGTGTGGGAACCAACCACCACACGCCTGTAGAATACAAAACAAACTCCCTTGTAATATTATTTTAGGAAATGTGCGAATAGCTCTGGTATCCAACTCGTTTTTGCTTGTCAGACACCAGAACCATTCACTTGTTTTATAAAATTTGTATTACATGGGAGCACGTTTAGTATTTTATTTATTACTTGCATTTTATAACTTTTGGGAGTTGGGAATTCCCATCATACACTTGGCCAAGGTAATGAATACAATATTTCACTGTTGAGGGTACGTAGGCAGACATAAATGCAATCTCAAGCATAATCCATGTGAGTTTAACAGAATAATATCACTTCAAACACATTTTTATTTAATAAACATACAATACAACACCGTTTACATACACGTCTCAACACCCAATTCAATTTCATCAGCAAGACCAATGAAACACCGATTTGCCACCATCTTGGTTTACGCTACAGTACTCATTTATACAAAATTGTTTGTTTTGTTACTTATTCTGAAAATGTTCCAATTACGTTGATTATGACTGGTTACATCCTGCATTTACGCCATGCTATTCCTGATGTGGAATGTTGGGTTGGTTATACCGTATTATCTGCCATCGTCACCACTCGCCCCTTTCCATCACCTGCAAGATGACACGAGTTGACCACGAATGATTCAACCTGACATGACCGATAATGTTCACGTACGTAAAAGTTTGACAAGTAACTGTTGAGGCTTCCTGCGGTTTTGCTGTTTCAATTGCAAAAAAACATTATGCTGACAAATAACAGTCAAGATGCAACCAATATGACCTCTTAATAAGTCAAAGTATGACATTTATGAATTGATAGCTGTATCCATTCTCTGGCAACAAAGGTTCATTTCAAGGCAATATTGGTAAAGTGATCGTGGTTTATGTAAATAAAATAGTGAGTTGGGCCAATCTGCCACAGGACCATGAAACTAATATTCTATGGATCTACTAAAAAATTTGCAGACGAAGCCGAATTTCTTAATTCAGTAGTCATTTGTTGACATGCTTTTTCCGATGACATAAAGACATGAATTTGAGGGGAAAATAATGATATTTATGGGAGCTATTGATTATCCCATGGTTTAAGCAAGTCGGTGGCATTGTGAAGGACATTATTGCGAGGGACGACTGTAGTTTCATTTGTAAGGCGGCACAGCAATATTTGTTAATGAAATGACACGTTATTGTTTGCAGTTCAAGATTAAGAATGAAAGGGATAAACTGGTCTTAAATGGCCCATATAGGAAAATGAATAGCCCATACCTGCAAAACAATTGCCCATACATGTGTAAACATTTGGCCATAGGCCCATGAAGGAAATTTCCTTCCCAATCACTGTGTGATATCACCACATACATGGGACATAGTTAGCTAATTTGTGCAAAAATTTGTATTCTGCCCAATCCAAGCTAATTGGTAAGCTCTGTGAAGCACAAAACCAAAGAGTGTGGTATTGAACATGGCAAGAGTGTGTGCAGTGTTATCCAGCAGTTGTCAGATTCATTGCCATTATCACCTCTCATAGCTGCGTGTCTTGGCCATCATCTGACTTCCTGGATGACTGGACACACTTGGGGGTGAGTGAGTAGGGTTTTACACCGCTTTTAGCAATATTCCAGCAATATCACGGCGGGGGACACCAGAAATGGGCTTCATACATTGTACCCATGTCGAGAATCGAACCCAGGTCTTCGGCGTGATGAGCAAACACTTTAACCACTAGGCTACCCATCCGCCTGTGTCGCCTTGAGAAGCAGGTCCTGTCCAACTAGATACATCTGCCCCAGCCTAGACTAACATTTAGTCTCTGGAATCTTATATTACACAAAATCCTTCTTGACTCTAAAAATAAAATAAAAAATTCCCTATGCTGATTTCATGTGGAATAGAGCTAGACTTGCTTTCGTATGCATTTCTAGATTATTATTTTTTTCATAAAATAAATATATTCCATGGTCATGGTGCAGGACTAGCCCCAGCCTTCACCTGCCATTTGATGACAGTTGACTGTTCTGTATTAACATTAAATTATGTCAAGGACATACCAACTCCTTGCATAATTAACCAACTGTTTATAACTCTTTCAACAACTTTATATAGATTCACAAGCAAGAAAGATATAATTTCAAGTGGTTTCATGACTGAGTCTGATTTCGTCTCCAGCAGAAAGTCACTTGACATTCAGGCTGCTTGTGCCATGAAATGAACAAATAATTGCTCTGGTAACACCACCATGCTGTTTCAGCCGTTATAGACTGCTGGCACATCTATTTCGGTCAACCGCCATGAAATGAGATTAGCTTGTGTATTGATCCTGTATGAGATGGGGGATTTCACTCTGCCTCCCAGCCCACACAAACACCCTCCTTCCTATGAAATTCACATAATACAGCAAAGCCAATTGACAGCAGCATGCTCTTAATGCAAATTGACACTGATTTCATTAAGCCAAGTAAGGAAGTTTGACCTTGTTACTGCGATGAATTTACATTTGACAGTAAGTGATTATGTGACTGTGGGCCAAGTCGCAAGTAATGTGCTGATAATAATGGCAAGGAAGTTGACAAAATAACCCTAAACTGGCAGCTCCATCCAGTACATCCCGAGATGCTGCAGATTTACGACATCCGACTGAACTGTGGTGTCAGGGATACTGTGTGCAATGCAAAGTGACTGAAGAACAAACTGGCCCCCGACAACACACTGTCAACCATGCACTGGCTTCACAGTTTCACTCAATCCTCACCTTGTTGGAGAAAACAATACTTGTATGACAAGTAGACCATCATGTTTAACATCACCCTGTGTGTGTACCCAGTACTTGTATGACAAGTAGACCATCATGTTTAACATCACCCTGTAGTTGTACCCAGTACTTGTATGACAAGTAGACCATCATGTTTAACATCACCCTGTGTGTGTGTACCCAGTACTTGTATGACAAGTAGACCATCATGTTTAACATCACCCTGTGTGTGTAACCAGTACTTGTATGACAAGTAGACCATCATGTTTAACATCACCCTGTGTGTGTACCCAGTACTTGTATGACAAGTAGACCATCATGTTTAACATCACCCTGTAGTTGTACCCAGTACTTGTATGACAAGTAGACCATCATGTTTAACATCACCCTGTGTGTGTACCCAGTACTTGTATGACAAGTAGACCATCATGTTTAACATCACCCTGTTTGTGTACCCAGTACTTGTATGACAAGTAGACCATCATGTTTAACATCACCCTGTGTGTGTACCCAGTACTTGTATGACAAGTAGACCATCATGTTTAACATCACCCTGTGTGTGTACCCAGTACTTGTATGACAAGTAGACCATCATGTTTAACATCACCCTGTGTGTGTGTACCCAGTACTTGTATGACAAGTAGACCAACATGTTTAACATCACCCTGTGTGTGTACCCAGTACTTGTATGACAAGTAGACCATCATGTTTAACATCACCCTGTGTGTGTACCCAGTACTTGTATGACAAGTAGACCATCATGTTTAACATCACCCTGTGTGTGTACCCAGTACTTGTATGACAAGTAGACCATCATGTTTAACATCACCCTGTAGTTGTACCCAGTACTTGTATGACAAGTAGACCATCATGTTTAACATCACCCTGTGTGTGTACCCAGTACTTGTATGAAAAGTAGACCATCATGTTTAACATCACCCTGAGTGTGTACCCAGTACTTGTATGACAAGTAGACCATCATGTTTAACATCACCCTGTAGTTGTACCCAGTACCTGTATGACAAGTAGACCATCATGTTTAACATCACCCTGTATGTGTACCCAGTACTTGTATGACAAGTAGACCATCATGTTTAACATCACCCTGAGTGTGTACCCAGTACTTGTATGACAAGTAGACCATCATGTTTAACATCACCCTGTAGTTGTACCCAGTACTTGTATGACAAGTAGACCATCATGTTTAACATCACCCTGTGTACTTGTATGACAAGTAGACCATCATGTTTAACATCACCCTGTAGTTGTACCCAGTACTTGTATGACAAGTAGACCATCATGTTTAACATCACCCTGTGTACTTGTATGACAAGTAGACCATCATGTTTAACATCACCCTGTACGTGTACCCAGTACTTGTATGACAAGTAGACCATCATGTTTAACATCACCCTGTGTTTGTACCCAGTACTTGTATGACAAGTAGACCATCATGTTTAACATCACCCTGTGTTTGTACCCAGTACTTGTATGACAAGTAGACCATCATGTTTAACATCACCCTGTGTGTGTGTACCCAGTACTTGTATGACAAGTAGACCATCATGTTTAACATCACCCTCTGTGTGTGTACCCAGTACTTGTATGACAAGTAGACCATCATGTTTAACATCACCCTGTGTGTGTGTACCCAGTACTTGTATGACAAGTAGACCATCATGTTTAACATCACCCTGTGTGTGTACCCAGTACTTGTATGACAAGTAGACCATCATGTTTAACATCACCCTGAGTGTGTACCCAGTACTTGTATGACAAGTAGACCATCATGTTTAACATCACCCTGTGTGTGTACCCAGTACTTGTATGACAAGTAGACCATCATGTTTAACATCACCCTCTGTGTTTGTACCCAGTACGTGTATGACAAGTAGACCATCATGTTTAACATCACCCTGTGTGTGTACCCAGTACTTGTATGACAAGTAGACCATCATGTTTAACATCACCCTGTGTGTGTACCCAGTACTTGTATGACAAGTAGACCATCATGTTTAACATCACCCTGTGTGTGTGTACCCAGTACTTGTATGACAAGTAGACCATCATGTTTAACATCACCCTGTGTGTGTGTACCCAGTACTTGTATGACAAGTAGACCATCATGTTTAACATCACCCTGTGTTTGTACCCAGTACTTGTAGGACAAATTGACCATCATGTTTAACATCACCCTGTGTGTGTACCCAGTACTTGTATGACAAGTAGACCATCATGTTTAACATCACCCTGTGTTTGTACCCAGTACTTGTGTGACAAATTGACCATCATGTTTAACATCACCCTGTGTGTGAACCCAGTACTTGTATGACAAGTAGACCATCATGTTTAACATCACCCTCTGTGTGTACCCAGTACTTGTTTGACAAACATATGATCATTCATTATCACATCAATGAAATATATCCATATTACATAATCAAAGCAATGAATGACTAACCAAACATCCCCAGAGCAAGAACCATGGCATGGCAAAGAAGGATACAACCACTTTCAACCAGAAGGACCAGATGACCTTGACCTCTGATGTACACACCACACAAAACCAGTGTTCTGCTTGTAGAGACATAGTGTGCCTTTCAAAGTGACAATGAAATAAACTTGCTTGACAATAACCTGAATTTTACCAAAATCTAAACAAGGCATGGCACCATTGTATAGATAGTATATAACAATTGTTGTGAACATTTATACAGTTTGAGAAAGTAGTGACCACAAACATTCTAGTGAGCTATTTGTTTATCTCGACTTTAATCACTCACCTTCTCATAAAAATCACCAAAAGAATTCCCCATTGCAATTAGCAAGATGTTCATGGTAAGATATATTCTGATATGGGTAAACTGATATGAGTAGTTTCTACAGGATCACTTGCAGCAGAAGCAGTTGTCAAATTCATGCATGGGAGTGTACTAACTACAATCCAAATACAAAGTGTTTACCTTTGAAGCTCCAAACTTGATGGCTTTAGCTTTCACAGCTTCATAGTCCTCTTCCTGTCCTATGTTGGCCTGTGTTCACAAAACAGAATGAGTTGACAAGAGTGATAACAGTTTGGTCATCGGTTAAATATCATAAAAATGACCATTATAACAGTGAGTGGTTGAGAAGCTAGATGGTCTGGGATACTTACCAAGTATGTAGCCCTTATTAGGTATGCGATAACCCGTAGCCCTTATATATCAGCCAGGCGGTCTGTGTTACTTACCAAGTATGCGAAGATCTTGTAGCTCTTATTAGGTATGCGATAACCCGTAGCCCTTATATATCAGCCAGGCGGCCTGTGTTACTTACCAAGTATGCAAAGATCTCGTAGCTGTTATTAAGTATGCGATAACCCGTAGCCCTTATATATCAGTCAGGCGGTCTGTGTTACTTACCAAGTATGCGAAGATCTCGTAGCTGTTATTAAGTACGCGATAAGCTGTAGCCCTTATATATCAGCCAGGCGGTCTGTGTTACTTACCAAGTATGCGAAGATCTCGTAGCTGTTATTAAGTATGCGATAAGCTGTAGCCCTTATATATCAGCCAGGCGGTCTGTGTTACTTACCAAGTATGCGAAGATCTCGTAGCTGTTATTAAGTATGCGATAACCTGTAGCCCTTATATATCAGCCAGGCGGTCTGTGTTACTTACCAAGTATGCGAAGATCTCGTAGCTGTTATTAAGTATGCGATAACCTGTAGCCCTTATATATCAGCCAGACGGTCTGTTACTTACCAAGTATGCGATGACCTCGTAGCCCTCCTCTATCAGCCAGACGGTCTGTTACTTACCAAGTATGCGATGACCTCGTAGCCCTCCTCTATCAGCCAGACGGTCTGTTACTTACCAAGTATGCGATGACCTCGTAGCCCTCCTCTATCAGCCAGACGGTCTGTTACTTACCAAGTATGCGATGACCTGGTAGCCCTCCTCTATCAGCCAGGCGGTCTGTTACTTACCAAGTATGCGATGACCTCGTAGCCCTCCTCTATCAGCCAGGCGGTCTGTTACTTACCAAGTATGCGATGACCTCGTAGCCCTCCTCTATCAGCCAGGCGGTCTGTTACTTACCAAGTATGCGATGACCTCGTAGCCCTCCTCTATCAGCCAGACGGTCTGTTACTTACCAAGTATGCGATGACCTCGTAGCCCTCCTCTATCAGCCAGACGGTCTGTTACTTACCAAGTATGCCATGACCTCGTAGCCCTCCTCTATCAGCCAGACGGTCTGTTACTTACCAAGTATGCGATGACCTCGTAGCCCTCCTCTATCAGCCAGACGGTCTGTTACTTACCAAGTATGCGATGACCTCGTAGCCCTCCTCTATCAGCCAGGCTAGGATGCAGGAGGTGTCTAGACCCCCGCTGTATGCAAGCACCACTTTCTTCTTTGTCTTCGAGGTACTGTCAGCCATCTTGACTTATGGTACACCTGAAAACTGAAAACATATTTACTTTCCACCAAAGTTAATGATTTTATGTGAACTAGAAAATTGATTGCAAGTATTTGCAAAAACAGAAGTAGTCCCATCCCCATTTCTAGAAGTCATTTCTAGCAGTACATCACCAAACACTAATCACCTGGTGAAATGTATGCCTACAACATTATGAAAATGTGTACACAGACATTCATTTTTTTAAAGTATGTTAATAGGCTTGTTATAAGTTTGTTTGTTGTTTAGTGTCGCACTCAGCAATATTCCAGCTGTATGTTGGCGGTCTGTAAATAATCACTGAACCAGACAATCAAGTGATTGACATCATGATCATCGATCCACGTAATTGGGATACGATGACATGCATCAATCAAGTCAGCGTGCCTGACCACCCGATCCCATAAGTCGCCTCTTACGACAAGCACTGTCACCTTTTACAGCAAGTAAGGGTTGCTGAAGACCTATTCTACCTCGGATCTTCACGGGTCTGTTAATCATGTTAATATGTTGATAAAATACTTCCAAATGGGATTTTATGAGATTTACTGAAGACTCTTGGTTTTCTCCATCAGTTATGGGCTTCACTTCCAACAAGCGGACCCGTGAAGATCTGGGCTAGAATAGGTCTTCAGCAACCCATTCTTGCCCTGAAAGGCGACTAAGCTTGTCGTAAGAGGTGACTAGCGGGATTGGGTGGTCAGGCTCGCTGACTTGGTTGAAGCATGTCATCGATCCCTATTGCGTGGATCGATGCTCATGATGTCAATGACTGGATTGTCCGGTCGAGACTCGATAATTTACAGATCGCCATCATAGAGCTGGAATATTGCTGAGTGCTGCGTAAAACAACAAACCAACCAACCAACCAACCAACCAAATCCATCAAGTCAGGCGGGCTGGTGACTCCTCAATGTCACTAACCCGTCTTGAAAAGTCAAGGCCCACATTTGTAACTACAGTCGAACATCACTTATCCAAATGTCAATGCTAGAGTAGACAATCTTCATCATTTTCCTCTGACTTACTGTATTCTATGCCATATCATACGTATCGCAATACAGGTCAAAGTATGGCAATATATTGCAGTACAAAATCCAGGTCAATACACAGCCCTGTGAGCTACATTTCCGTGCCACTGTTCTTTAGTTTATTTGGATAGATGAAATAAAAAATCATGCAAATCCACCTTAATATTCCTCATTCTTTGTATATTATTCCATGAGATATGTAAATTAAATGTAATCAGCATGTCAATTTAAATACATTCTAATCAAAAGCCAAAAGATTTCTTTTTTTTGGTGTTCAGCTACTACTGGCAGTGTGAAAAAAAACAACTATATTATGTGTCATTATTATCACTTGCTACATTATTTCGTTCGTTCGTTTGTTGTTTAACGCCGCACTCAGCAATATTTCAGCTATATGATGACGGTCTGTAAATAATCAAGTCTGGACCAGACAATCCAGTGATTGACATCATGAGCATCAATCCACGCAGTTGGGATACATGACTACAGCAGATTGGCAAAGATAAGAATATGTCTTGTTGCACACTGATGGTGTATGTTACTGGGAAAATAGGATGATCAGAGCTCCAGATAAGCTTTTGGTGTTGTGGGTATTTTACCCATGCATTTTAAAATCATTGGGTATCAGTAATTCTACCTGCGTATTCAAATTTCTGTTACCCACTAGTTTTTACACATGTGGGTATTTAAGTTAAATATTTAAAAACACTATTCATCTGGTCCCTGCAAACTGGTGTCGTGTGGGTTCGAGAGCTTTATAGGACTCAAAAATACCACGATACTTCCACAAGAAAGTGTGATGGCAAATGATCATGATGTAACTGTCATCGTGGAGTTTGGCAAGGTTGACGGAATGCCCCTTTATAATTTCAAAATAAGTTGTTTATTTGCTAATCTAATACGCAGGGTTACTTCACAATATTTTGATGATACGCACAAGTTTTATTTTTGTAGCGTATCTGTAATGTTCGTTGCGTATTTGATACGCTTGGATTATATTTTACTGTGTATTTCTCCATTTCTGATGCGTATTTCACGCAGATACGCAGCTTATCTGGAGCTCTGGATGATTGAGGGAGTGAACGCTGGAATAAGCTCTGCAATAAGCTAGATCATGGTGACTTATTTAACTGATTCTGGTCACCTCATGGTTGTCATCATGCCTGCCACAAAGAGGGCAGCAGCAGCCAGCCAGCCAGCCAGCCAGCCAGCCAGGTCACACATGGCGAACACCCACCCCCATCTCCATGGAATGAGAGGTATCACACTGGCTTCTAATCTCAGTAACTCACGAATGTTTCAGTCATGTATCTCACCAGGACCAATATTCCGAGTCGCTTTCTCTGTCTGTTAACATTTGATTGCTTTTCAAACCATCAACCATAAACTCATTAATATGTTCATGGTGTTAAAATCACATTGTATTTCTGGCTAACCTGAATGAAAATATGCACTTATTAGTCATTGTTGATAAAATTGCAAAAATAAAATAATATCTTACGTTCCCGAGCCCTCAGTGTATTTGCTGTACAAAATGTTGTGATGCTTGTTTACATGTGTACGTGGATGGTTTAGTACATGATGTTTGCGTGGACGTTTTAGTACATGATGTTTACGTGGACGTTTTAGTACATGACATGTTCTTAAGAGAAGTTTCAAAGGTATTACTCTGTAATTTATGCTGTCCTCTCATATGAAACATATACCATAACATGGCCAATACCTATGGAAAACATAGTATGAAGCTATCACCATAACACCATGTATTGCCACAGGTTCCTGACAACCTCAGCTGTATATTTGCTAAATTTATTGCCATATGACACTGACAAACTTGAATCAGACATTGATCATGTTGATATGTGACTCACTTGACGGAGTTATTAAGCTGTAAATGTTAAAGGCATATGCTGATGATGTCAATTGCTGTATTGTCTGTTCAAGATTCCATTATTTACATATAGCTGGAATATTGCTGAGTGTGGTGTTAAAAAACAAACAAAGAAAGAACAAAGAATATATTTCTTTATGAATTTGTATTGTTCCCAGAGTTATAAAGTACTACTGTATTCAGTCAAAACACATTTCAAATTGCAACAGCATCAGTCACAAAAAAAGATGAAAAAATGTAAAGGTTTTGAAAATGTATTCTACCATGAATTTGGAATTTACTCAATTCTGATTGGTCAATCAGAGGCTATTAAATAACAATAAACACCCTCTGATTGAAACAGCTGGTTTGACGACCGCATCACCGCAGAAGCTAATATTCATAGAATAGTACTATTTTCAGTCATTGTTGGTAGGCATATTTAAATAATTATATCTACAATTACAGATTACAAAATGCACAGATGCTTGTTACTACAATATTCAAAGGATGTGTGGCAATAAATTTCGTGCAGAAAAACATGACAGAAATCAACAAAGGGAATGTATTTAAGTTTTGGAGACAACAGAGAGCTTGAAATTTTGGCACTTTTCTATATACGACTGTGACGTCACATCTTTTGCGCCACAATGAGCGATATGACGTCACAATGGTGATGCGCAATGTAGAGCTAAAGCCTTTCAAAGCTTGCTTTGTTTTCTTTAGGGATGCCCACCTCGCGTTAGCTTACCAAGTTGCTGTGCTTATATGCCTTCATTGCCTGTCATATGTTCGAGTGAAGTATTACGGTGTAAACAAACTGCTTGAGTATATACAGCACCATATTTTGTTCGGTGATTCCGTAATTCAGATAGATAACCCACTCAAAACACTGAACTCAACCCATACCGATTCACTCAGTATATTTGCTAACACCAAAGAGTTCGCATTTTATTTAGTCATGGTAGAATGGAGATAAACATACTGTGTTTTCAATGTAGAGCTAGGTTACCTGTAGATTTAACCGCGCTAAATTTAACATTTGAAACCTCACGCTACGCGTTCGGTTCCAAATTCAATTTAGCGGGGTTAAATCTACAGGTAACATAGCTCTACATTGAAAACACAGTATATTTATCTCCTAATTGTGATACATATTGCAGTATATTGCCAATTTACATTTTCATGAGTTAATCAGAGTTATATGCTGTATTAATGTCAGATACCATCAGGCTCCTTCCCAGCGAGAGACACCTTCGTTATATTGTCGGTATAGAGAGCTCCGTGAATGGGCTATCTCTGTGAGGAGCTTGATAGTCGCGATGTGCACACGCTAATTTATAAAAAGATCATCAGAGGCAAGTTGTATCAGAAAGATACTATTTTCCATCTCCATATCGATTAGGAACACATAAATATACTTATTCATATTTGCCCCAATATATTGCAACATTTACAAACGTATCACAATACGTATTGCTGAAGATTTGCACCAAAGTATACTGGTGTACCGGTACTACCACACACCATTACCAGCTCACATGGATATGTCGTCAACAGTTTAAATACTAAACAGCACCAAAACACAACAAGATGTAATGTCATAACGTGAATCACGCAAGCTCTCAGTCTGGCAAATTCAGGAGACGTTTCCAAAGGCAAATACAGTAAACTAATGCAGGGCACAGCCCCGAGTGGCTTCTTCTCCCTGTAGTGTTTTATTTTATGATAAACAACTCCCACTTGTCGTTTATTTCTTATTTGAGATACATGTATCAGCATCATGTACAGCCTCTTTAGGGATGAGGAGATGTATTATCTTTACACATATCTACCCTGATTTTAATAGTGATGACTCCCTCAATACAATCCGACCTCGGAAACGGCAGACAACTTCATTTTATGCACAAGTGGATATTTCCCGCATATTCTCACAAATCCTCACATCAATTTCCTGTACCTTTTCTCCCAATACCGTTGATTTCTCTGTGATTTCATTGTGATTTCTCTCCAACTTTTGGACGCGATTGTTCAGCCATTGCTCATATCTGCATTGCCCGGCTACATCTACAGGAACAACTCACTAGACGTCATCAAG